GTGACCTTTTTTTGTCTGAGTAATTTTCAGTCTTAACTTTGCTTTTATCTTCTAAAGCTTCCACCAGTAAATTTTTTAATCAGAAAACTCCAAATATCTAAGACAGTTAAGTTCAAGTGGCTAAGGGCCTAGAATGTGCTAGGATGACAGGATCCCCATCTCTGAGACATGTACAGTCTTCTGGGGCAGACAAACATGTAAAAAGCACATTGAAGGACCAATCCAGGGTTGAAATTTTATAGCACAAGAATGGTAAGACAGGAATGTAAAGGTATTAACGGTAGATCATATTGCATAAAGTCTTTTTAGCCCTTCTAAGATATTCCTTCAATTCCTCCTGTTTTACTCAAAGGTAATAACCTTTTAAACTCTCCCACTGCCGAAAGAACCCTCATCCCCACCCCCCAAACTGGCCTCTCTTATTCTCCTGGGTATAAAGCAAGAGGGGTTACAACTGGGACATCAGATGTCAGACATCCACTAAGAGTAGAATTTTGTGCTACTGGTAATCTGGGTGACTAGGTCCTAAACAGATCTCTATGGGGCATTTTCCTAGAGCATCCTTACTGGTACCTTGTAGAATGGGGAGAAAAAAATAGGTTCTGTAATTTACATCCAAATTAAGTAGTTTAGGTAATAGTACTGTACTAATGTTCATTTCTTAGTTTTGACAAATGTACCATAGTTATATAAGATGTTAACATTAGGAGAAGCTGGTGAAAGATACATAGGAACTCTCTGTACTGTCTTGCAACTTTTCTGTAAGTCTAAAAATACTCCAAAATAAAAAGTTAAAAAAAAAAAAGCTCTGGAGCCAAGCTGACCAGGGTTCTAATACTAGAGACATTCACCAGATTAAGTCTCCCAAGTGTCTGCAAAATACAGGAAAATACCTCGAGTAATGTTGACTAGAATGGAAACCTATACGTGAAGGACCCAATAAATATGACAAAAATGCCAAAAATAGCTAAAGGATTTCCTAATCAATTCAGCAAAAAGGTCAAGAATGAATTCCTAGGAACAAGATGTACTCACCCTGCCAAGGTCCTGGAGAAAGGTTTTTACACTGTCAGCCATCTCTTCACCACCCAAACTATCAACTACACGGAGGAGAAAGAAGCACCCCAAAATCTCTCATCATGAAGGACCTGGAAACAGAGCATGATGGGGGAAAATATCTTAAAGTAAATTACTTCATATACATTTCTACGTCATGACCGTACATACTTGTAGCTCTAATAGAAGAGCAGTAGATTCTAACAATTCAGTAGGTACTAGCACTAACACAGTGAACTAAGTCAAGCTACTCCTGTAACAGCTGAAATCTAAAATCCATAATTTTTTCTTTTTAATCACTCACTACCCTTTCACTTTTACATGGGGTAAAGTGCTCTTGGACTGGTAGTCTCCTCTGAGCCTTGATGTCTCTAACTATCCCTCCTATATATTTCGAGCACTTTTAAGGATTTGGAGATAGATGATAACTACATTTCAATATCCTCTTAAGCAGTTTTTATGCTTGCTGTATACACTGAAACACTTGGGTGAAAATACAAGAGCAAGATAAAAGTTCTTACAAAAATTACTAACTG